GGGACCTTCTGCCCCTAAACACACACCCAGGCCCTTCTTTCTTCTCTTCCCAAGGTCCCTGAAGTCATTTTCCTAAGACCTAGATCAGTTCAATTTACAGGGGCTGTTCAACAGATTCACATCCCTCAGTGAGAATATGAAGGAATTCCTCTGAATACAAATACAGTCACATACAGGTGCTTAATTTATCTATTTTAAGCATCAGGAGTAGCCAAGCTATACAATGTATCATACTAAGAAAGTTTAGTAAATCAAGGAAAGAAGATTTTTTTTTTAAACTTCAGACTATAGATTTAGTAGCACAGATGCAAGAGCATTTTACTAGACTACTAATCTATAATGCTAAGGAATTAAATCTAGCTAAATTCCTCCATTCAGTGGATGATAATAATAAACTACAGTAGTTTAATTCATATCTCTTAGTAGGCAACCAAGTAACAAGTTAAAAAACAACTTCCCTGAGCAAACTGGTTAATGCAGTACATGGAAAAACCAGTCTATGTATAAAAAACTAAGACAGCACCTTATTTAGATCCACGTGAAGAACAGCTCTTAAACAGGAAACTGACAGCATTATAAATCTTTTCCTTCTACTTAACTGCCACTAAGGAAAGGGTACTTGAAGTATTCAAAATGGAGGCAAACCTAAATTTAAGAAAAAATCAGACTCAATAAATAGCCTTTCAATGCTGTGTGTAAATAATAAACAGCAGATTCAACCCTATCAGGTCTCTAAGAATTAGTAAAACTCATATACTTGCTAACAAAGGGTTAAAACTCCAATACCATTCTAGTTGGAATTTTTTTTTTAACTCCTTCAAAATTTAATTTCCACATCATCACCTAAGGAAGTTCATAGCATGGGCAGATAAGCCAGGCTGTTTGCTACAGCCACGATTCAATTCACTGAGAAGTGTAAGACCCATTGTTTCTAGTGGGGGCCTCTGGTTCTCCTTCCTCTACAGCTCCTCCAGTGCACGTTTCCTCCTCATGATTCCAGAAAGTGGGTTTGCTCAGCTGGGTTTTTGTAATTTCCTATAAAGCTAGAGTCTAAAAAGCACACGAGGACAGTGGATGCAACAATGGCCAGAGACATCTGGCATGTGCCCAGGGTAAGGAACCAGCACAGAAGACGCCTTTGAATAGAACTGGGCAGAAATGGAGGGAGCAGGACAGGGAAGCAGAAGCTGGATTGCGTGACTGTCCGAAAACAGAAATCCCAGTACCTGTCTACCCAGTCTTTAGCTGGAATAGACAAAAACCCAGTTAGTATTGATGCAGTGTTTTGGAAAAGCTTTCACATCCGGTGTCGTATCTGAAACCTCAATAGCAAAATGAAGACAAGGAAACCAAAGCTAGAAACATGGCAGGTTTCCCCCAAGGAAGATGTCCCCATGTTTGTCATGAACAGGATACCAACCTGACTCTAAATCTGGTCTACACAAATGAATTTTTTTTTGTCTCACTTTGTCACCCACGCTAGAGTACCATCATAGCTCACAGCAACCTCAAACTCTTGGGCTCGAGCCATCCTCCTGCCTCAGCCTCCTGAGTAGCTGGGACTACAGGTGCCCACCACAATGCTTGGCTAGTTTTTCCATTTTTAGTAGAGACAGGGTCTTGCCCTTGGTCAGGCTGGTCTTGAACTCCTGAGCTTAAGTGATCCTCCAGCCTCAGCCTCCAAGAACGCTGGGGTTACAGGTATGAGCTACCACGTCCAGCCTCACACAAATGATTCTTAACTGTGCCAAGCCATTGACCCTCTCCCCTGAGAATACACATCATCATCTTTACCTAGGACTGAGAAATCCCCATTAGCCTGACCCAGGGTAGGAACCATGAGACCAGGATCCTTCCTGGTCTAAGGATCCTTCCTGTGCTAACATGCCCCCAAATCCACCTACCCTCTCGATGTCTCACATGAACACTAGCAACTATCCCCCACTCTGCCCTCTGAACAGGGAGGTTCAAGGCCCACTATACACAAAGGTTCACCCCTTACAACTTTGTTTACACTATGAAAGTAGTTTAGGGCCAGAGGTTCTGGTTCACTAGGGCATCATTCTCTAAGGACACAGACACATATCTCTTATAATTCTGCGAGCTCTTA